ATGTTGATTCATGGAAATAACTGACAAAAATTCAAAAATATTGAAAGGAAAAAAATATGCGATTACATAGAAATCCGCGCTCTAGTAATTACTAATATTTACCTAAAAATATTATTATTATAATTATTATCCTTATAAATTATACCAAATTAATTATTTTCTAATTTAACGTCAGTTAATATATCTGCACAGGTTATACCGTTTATTGTTCTTGCCGTTGGAGTCGATAATATATTCTTGATTATTCGAACATATCAATTCATGGACATGAAAGAAGAAGAATTGGTTCCCGACTTTGTCGGTCGAGTCTTGAGCAAAATTGGACCATCTATTTTTATCACTACTGTCGCAGAAATCACGTGTTTTTTCATCGGCAGTCTGTCAGACATGCCTGTCGTGAAAGCTTTTGCGTTGTATGCGGCTATGGCATTAGTATTTAACTTTTTCTTCCAGATCTCCTGTTTCGTAGGTCTATTAGCAATGGACGCTAAACGAGTGAGTACAGTTTTAAATATTACAAGTGTATTCTAATGTCAGGTTTATATACTAATATTTCTATGCTCCTGATTATTCAAATTATTAATTAATTTATATTAATTCGAATTTTTATCATATCGTGTGGGCTATTCATCTATGTTTATCTAATGACCAAGTCGACTTACATATTCATAAATTGCAAGGTAAAATAATTTACTGATAGGTATGTGAAGGAGTGTTTTTATGAGTGTGGATGTGTAAGTGAGAAATAATATTTTCAAATAATTATATATAGTTAAAAAAAAAGAGATAATTTTTGAAAATAATTCCATCTATATAGAAATGAGATAAACATTTAGTAAATATATCAGATTTCTCGAATATTTTTAGAGTTGCATTAAAAAAATAAAATCGATTTTGTTGAAAACATGTGTGCTGTACATTTTACAGTTTTTTTATTTATCGTCAGTTTTTTGCAATTAATAAGAAAACTGAAAGAAATTTCGTAAAATGACCTACTAACTAAACCAACTAGACTATATTTCCTACTAGAAACCTTCCATGACTGTGATGATCAAAGCAATCCTCCTAGTCAAAATCGTGTTTAATTTATATTTTTTACTACTTTATTTATTATTATTACTAATTTATAATATAAAAATAAATAAATAATCTAAATAAAACATAATATAATAAAGATAATAATATATAATAAATAATATAATAAAATATATAAAATAAAAATAATCTAAAAACATGTATTATTATTAGAGCGCCAATTTGTATGCACTTAAAAATATCGAAATATGCCATATGCAGTAAAAATCATGAAAATATGCAAAAAATATGCAAGAATTTTTTATTTATTTAAAATTTATAATTCAACTTATAAAAATTAATTACTTAAATACTTAATACAAAAAAATTCAGGGAATTTTCTGAACTTAATTTATTTTTAAAATTTTATTAAAAATGCGATTAGTTCATAATAAATACTATAAAAGTATAAAATATAATGCCGTTTAATAAACGTTTGATTCATTTTGTGCTATCGACTATCCTTTAAATGTTTTTTTATTGTACGCCATATGCCCTTGCGGCTTGCTGTATAAATAGTGTAGTAAATTGTCATATTTATTGTTTTTGAATTTTGTCTTTTGATAATAATTACCAATCCACAGTAAATACCGATAAAACTGTAAATACCGTACATTCGGTGTATATGTTACGGCTGATTTAGCCATAACACGATGACTAAAGTTACTTTAGTGGGGTAATGTGTACAAAACTATGATTTTAAATGTTAATTGTTTACTTTATTCAACCAGTGTGGCTAGAGTGCACAATATCCGAATAATGTGCACTTTAGCCATGTTTCGGCCTTTAACCGTAACATATATATAGTATATACCGAAAGATCGGTATACCGGTTAGTGTAAGATCCCGATATTTATAAATACCAGTGCCTCATTGGTTCACCGAAAATACCGCCAACTCAACTTTAAATGTATACCTTCATATCATACCTATATATCTATATTTATATTTCATAAACTTTCTTCAGATTACACAGACCATTGTCTACTAATCCGCGTAAAAATTGGTTCAGTAAAAATTTGATTCTGATAATCTCAAATATATTAACATCCCTTTACATATACATATACATGTATATTTACATATATATATATATATATATCTTTTAAGAAAATTATAACTAATTTAACCTATTATATATTTCTTTGGAGATTGGTTTGATATTATTTATTTATGAATATAATGTATTTATTTAGGATACTGACATGCAAGAAATGAAGGAACCAAGTTTTATGTATACTCTTTTCCAAGAATCTTATGTTCCTATGCTAATGAACAAATTCGTTAGACCATTGGTTATATTGGTATTTACTGCTTGGCTATGTGCGAGTATTGCGGTCATTCCGAAGATTGACATAGGCCTAGATGTTGAACTCACCATGACCGATGACTCATATGTTCTTAAGTATTTCAAAGTAGGTGTTATTATTATACGACTATATTGCGTTTTACATAAAATAATAAACGTTTGTCAATATATTATTATTATTAATAGTTTATGAAACGTCACTTTTCAACTGGCCCTCCTGTCTATTTTGTGGTCACTGATGGGTTAAACTTAACTGATAAATTCGATCAAAATCTTCTTTGTGGTGGCGTTAATTGCGATTCCTATTCAGTTACGAACCAAATTTACAGAGCTTCAAAAACACCCAACTTGTACGTTTCAATCTACACTTATTCGTCTCAAACACTAGCTATAAATTATATATTGTATAGTATAATCTATATTTAACTGATTTATAGAACGTACATAAACAGACCCTCAACGTCGTGGATCGATGATTTCTTTGATTGGGCCGCTCTACCTAATTGTTGCAAGTATTATCCTTCGAACAATAGTTTTTGTCCTCACGGTAATGACACTTGTGTGAGTTGCACAATTGATAAAAACAATTTGGATCGACCGAATGTTCAGAGTTTTTCTAAGTTTTTACCGTATTTTCTCGAAGACAGTCCAGACCAACAGTGTTCAAAAGCCGGACACGCTGCATACAGTGATGTACAAACACAATCAATAATTAACATTTTGTATTTTTCAGTAAGTTTTTAATTTTACTCGTTTTTTATAGGCTGTTTCATTCAAAAATAATTCAACAGGACCTAGCTATTTTATGACATATCATACTGTATTAAAAACATCAAAAGATTATTATGAATCAATGCGCTCTGCTAGAGCAATAGCGAATAATATGACTGCAACGATCCGACGACAACATCCAAATAATACAAGTACTACTGTATTTCCGTACAGGTGTGTTTAACAACAGTGTATTATTAAAATATTAAAATAATATCTATTATACGTGTTTTCTAGTGTGTTTTATGTATTTTATGAACAATACTTAACCATATGGCAGGTGTGTGTTCAACATTTAGTATTGTCGTTGGTAATGGTAACGTTCGTTGTGTGGACATTCACTAATTTGAATAAGTATTCAGCTTTAACTCTTCTAATAGTTAATACAATGATAACAGTAGATTTGTTAGCATTTATGTATTTTTGGGAAATATCTCTAAATGCGATATCTTTAGTTAACATAGTGATGGTAAGTAGAACAAAGTAAAATCGTAGTAAAACTAATATAATATAATATATTTATAGTCAATAGGAATAATGGTTGAATTTTGTGGCCATATCATTTTCCACAATTCAAAATCTATTATATCGTGTCCAATCCAACGAGCTACGAATTCTTGTGTTGTCGTTGGGAGTTCGGTAACTATATTGAAATTAATTTTGATAATTTTATTCGCTATCTAATATTTTATTGGATTATTATTATAGTTTTTTCTCACAAAAATAAGAGCCTATCAGCAGTTTTTGTCTATTTAATAATTATAATTTAATTTAATTATTATTCTTTAGGTGTTTTCTGGAATTACATTGACGAAATTCGCAGGCCTAACTGTGCTTGGTTTTGCAAAAACTCCAGTGTTTAAAATATTTTATTACAGAATGTATATGGGTATTGTTATTATTGCTGCTTTACATGGTTTAGTATTCCTTCCGGTTCTTTTGAGTTACAAAGGTTTTTATAACTAATTTAATAAATTATGTTTTTTTTTTTTATCTAATATAAAATTGTGTTTTAGGTACTTATTATGTTGCAGCTGATAAGACTGATAGCACTAAAAAAAAGAGAAGCCGTAAGCTACAATTATTAGAAGTGAATGTACTGTGATATATTGAACAATATCAAGTTTTTTCTTATATACCTATCTATTAAGACTTAATTTTTACCAAAGTATTTTGGTTTTAATTTTTAAATTTTAAATTTTCCTTTTACATCAATAATAATGTATATAATTAATTTCTTCTAAGAAAATGAATTATCGACATGACTGTTATACTATAGGTGATTTTTTTTATGTAAAAAGGTAGATCGACGTTCATTGTTATAAGTCTTGGTACATCTAAAATGTATATTTGCACTATAAATTGTTTTATTTAATCTGTAAGTAGCATTATTAATTGTTTCTAGATTTACAAGAAATATTGAGTTCATTAAACTAGAAATGTTCTCGAAAAAAAAATATATTTTTGACGTGTTTGAATTTATTTAACTACTTTAAAAGTTAGCAAGAGTTAATATAACTTCTGTTATAAATTATTCAAAAATAATTAAATTTGTTGTATGGTATAAGGTGATTGGTGAAACTATATTATTCAATGATTATAAATGTAGAACATACTATTTATATATTAGTTTAGTGTATTTATATTAACTACGAGTTGAAATCTATCAACTTTTTATTGTAAATTGGTACCTATGTAACTGTTCCTAGTTTTTTTTTTTTTTTTTATGTGGGATTAAAAATATCTTGATATGTAACTATTTAAATTATTAGATAATAATATTTTTTTATAGTATATTTTTAAAAAATTTATTTTAAATAAAATGCTTTAATAAAACTAATTGTTCCGATTGTTTCATTTTTTGTACATCATATATTTATTTCTACACAGGTACAATCATACAAACATTAAATTAGGTTGGCATTCAAATATTAATTTGTTCAACAATATTTGAAACACGAAATAACATATTACATAGTTACAATTCAAGTTTGAATATATCTATAATAACTTAAACATACCACCAGTATAATTATTGAATAAACATGAAAAGCTGCAATATATAAAAGTAAATAATTAGATAAACCTATTGACAACAATGATTATTTTTAATAACTGAAACATTAGAAACCTACTTATAGCCTGCTGCTTTATGTTAAGTGTAAACGATTAAATAAAAAACAATCGACGTCCCAATTTTGGGTTCACCAATGAAGTGCCCGTTGACGACCGTTAAAGAGGGTCATTAAACCCGATACCAAGATCTTTTATGAGCTAGATTACCTGGATTTTTGTACTATATAATTACGGCAATTGCTAAGAAATTATAATATTTTGCACTATTTAATAATTTTATGAGATGACATTTTTGGGAGCCCTTTGGAAGAAATGCATCCAGGGCGCTTAAAGTACTAGGCCAACACTGATCTTAACGCTTTATTGAAAAGTTGTGTTTTTACCACAATCCGTACCTACTTTGTCAGGTATCTTTTGAAGTTATTTTTGTTTTTCAATGCTTTTATTATGTAATATTATAATATCAATATTCCTTGTTACTTGTAAATCTTTATCTTGCTACAGTCGTTTGAACACGGATTCATACTTGCAGCCAACACGAGCATGCTGATCGTCTCATTGAGCCAGTTGCTGGAAACGGTCAATGTAAAAATGCAACTATTCCCCAACAAACACAAAATAATATACCTAGTGTGTGTATGCCGCACATGAATAAGTATAGTTGTTTTTACTATTTTTCAATAATTCATTATACGAAAAACAATTTTAGCATCATTTTAGTTTTATCAATGCAGTTGGGTTTACCATAATGCATAGCAGAGGCGTATTTAGACTTACTTCTAGAGGGAGGGAAGTTTACTCAAATTTTTTCTTTAATTCAGGCTCAAAATTTACAAGTGAAATTTTGGTAATATTAAAATCGGGTGAATCCTTAGTACTTATGGGTTTTTTTTTTTTATTCTAATGTCGGATCCACTTAAAATCGACTTTTGTGTAGTTATTTTTCAACACCTGTTTTTGTTTTGAAAGTTACACTTGTATTTTATTTGATTTTTCACTGAGGTATGGACCCGACAAAATGCCCAATTCAGTATTCACAGCCACCCTTAATTTGATTTCATTATAAAATGATCCACATTAAAAAAATTTGAAATGTGTATCTCACATAATCGTATAATCGATTCCTTGAATACAGATTCAGCGGGGGTCGATCGCCCCCTTCCCCATAAAATGCGCCCTGATGTATAGACGCAATTTAGAGAGGGGTTTGGGTGTGATTTTCAACCCCATTTTCGAAATTAACACCCCCCCAATGGTATTAATGTTAAATACTCTTTACCCATTATGTATAGAAAAACAGGCTGGAATCCAATTGAGCACGGTTGCAATCAAACAATAGGAACCAATAAAGAACCCAAAAACCACACGATTGAGCACAAAAATGGGTGCGACGTTGCCGCTTTGTTCCGTAGAATATTCAGTGCACCATATTACTGTGGATGCAAGATTTTTTTATAGTTATTATGTAATTCAATATTAGATTTGTAACGATTATTTCATAATTTAAAATTTTTACAGTTCAGGTTTCATCAAAGAAATAACTCTCCAATAGAAAAACGACAAGACACCGGTTTTTTCGCATTTTTTATATTGTTGGTGTATAGAGCTCGGTGCATCTATATTATTATTACAAAATAAAATACATTTGAATAAGATTAATTATATAATAATTATAAATCATTTATTGGATTTTAATCACATGTTATAATTAAATATTTTTTTTTTTCTAAAAATTAGACTCATACAATTTTCATGAAAAAGGTAAACATTTAAATTGTTTTCCCTAAATACTTATTTCCAACTTTCAATAAGTATTCAAGTAGTTTGTCAGCATTTTTATATTCAGAGTATTCACGATAAGCCTTTATAGAGATATTTTTAATGCACGGTAAAGTCAAGGTGTACGTGACAGTTTTCGAAATATCGCGCCATAATTTTACTGCGCGACACTCGTGTGTTATGCTCAGTGCTCGACTTGGCAAAATTAAAGAAGGGGACTCTATTTGCTTAAAAAAATTGCGTTCCCAAAACTTGTTAAGCGTTATAGTTATAGGCATTTAAATTTCTAAAAATTAGAAGGGATACGCCGTCCCCTTGCGTCCCGCCACAAGTCAAGCACTGATTATCTTTAATTCTATCTTTAACTCTATTAATTTTAATGTATTTTAACAAAACGCGCAGTAAAATTACGGCGTGGTAAAATAACGCTAGTGTGTTGCCAACCTAATAGTTAGTTTTCAATCTGACAACGTTGTACACAATATTTTTTTTTATCGTGCTCAATCGGGCAGTCAAAAAGGTCGGCCGATAACGACCATGCTTAATCGGGTATCACCGGAAAAACAGAGTTTTTATTGTATAACAGGGCTTATTCTAAAGCGCAGTTGAGCTTATTTTGCGTATTTGGTAGACGCGCTAGATGCGCACTTAATAATAAACTTTTGCGTGATTGATTTTTAATTGAATGTTGTTTAGTGTTATTTTATACATTACATTATGATTTATGAACAAAGTTAAAAGGACATTTATTAAAAAAATACTTTCAACACGAATATAAATTGTTTTATATCTTTTAAATAGGTTACATTTAAATTACTTCATATAAAGGCTACAAATTTTATAATTTTTAACAATAATTTGACTGTATATTTTGAGATCAAAGTTATATTTTGATAGGCTTATTTAAACAAAATGCGTAATTTAGCCTGCAGTAAATTATAAAAAAGTCAATGAATATCTCCGAACCAACATGAATAATTTGGAAAAAAAAATTAAATACTTCAAATTTAGAAATGAAAACAACTCAAAATAAATTATTTATTGAAGTTAAGAAGTTCCCCCTAAACAAAACTAAATTCATTGAATATGAAGCAAAAAATTAGTATCTTCAGTTTTTTCTCAGAATCAATTAAATCTATTATTGAAGAAAAAAAAGTTTTCCTAAACTTCTTTCTACAACAACAGCCACAAAAATATCAAAAGTTGCTTATGAACATGATTATTTTATGCCATCTTGAATCAATCATCTTTCTTATGGTGGATTGAATATTCCAAGAAAGGATTTCAAGACTAATATTTTTTGAACTGAAAGATTATTTAAAAAATTACTAAACAAATAATATCGAAAGGAAGAAGAGAAGTTAAATCCTTAACAAATAAGATATTTAAAAGAATGGAATTAGCATTGAAATATAAATCGATTATTCAATCTTATATTAAACAGCAATTACTACTAATTAAAATGAAGTTGGTATTTTAACTAACATGCAGCATTGTTAAATAAGAAACGAAAAGCAAAAGTAGAATTAAAAAGATTAAAAAAATTTAAATGTTTAATGACATAAATTTTTAATAGACAATTTAATATTAAATTTGATTATGCTTTTTTTCTTTTTTTGGTGAAAAAAAACAAAACTAAATAAACATCAAATTAACAAAATAACGAGGACTAGGGTAGATAGATTAACAATATACTAATAAATTTAACAATAACAAAAATAATAATAATAAAAGCTCATGATATATTTAAAGGTGAACGTGAGTTTTAGACAACCAATCCATTGCTTCATCATCGGCCTTGTGAAATCCCTCAATTCCTCCCTTGTATCTTGTTTGAGGACATTCATCCACAATGTGTCTGATGGTTTGTATTTGTCCGCAGTCGCAAAGGGGAAAGTTATGCTTTTAAACTACTATTATTATTATTAATAAGTTTTAAAAATTATATAAAAAAATATGAGACTTTAATTTAAAATTAAAATTAATTATTACCTATATGATTCTGTGTATCATATATTTAATAACAATAATCCTTAATTTTCAATCTGACTTCCAATACCCTTTTTATACTAAATTAACTATATAAAAATTTATCGCTGCCTTCAAAGTCCAAAATAATACTAGAAATACTGACCAATACTAGTAGTATAAAGCAGGACTTATTCTAAGGATTTTCACCAATTGCCCGAACACGCTGAAAAGTTTATTTTATGAAATTTATTTGAACTATAATACTTACCCCCTCACCAAATAAATTGTATATTGAAATTTTAGAATTTTGACCATCGCGTAATAAAATATAAAAAAAAAAAAAATTACAAATCTTTTCCGTTATACCACTATTTAAATTTAAATTTCATAGATTAATCGATCATCGAAGCAGCAAGGATTGTAAACTTATATGATTATTACTTATTTGCTACTAGGATGGGTTTATAAATTACACAAACTTCAAATACTCAGCAGAAATTCAATCGTTCTATAACGTTCTATATGTTTTTTGTAAAGTGTCCGTATTTATAAAGTCAACTGCCCTTTTGATTTTTCCTACTACCCAATTTGGGTCGTACTGCTCGTTAGAATAAGACCTGGTATAAAGATAATGTAAATGGTAAATGTAATGGGGCCCAATTGATCCTTAATCTAGGATCGGTCAAAAGTATTGAACAATTAACATTATACATTTTAAAAAATGACTATAGTACATTGTATAGTGATATTTTATTTGCAACCTTAATTTATCTCATATTAGATGTAACAGTTGTATCAGCGGAAAGTTAAAAATCCTCAAGAAATTCAATGAGTTAAGACAGGTTATCAAAAATGCTATTTTGAACATCAAAAAATTAAAACTGAAAAATTATATAAAAGTAAAATAATAGACAATTTTGCCAACTTAAAGGTTAAAAGTTAAGTTTCGTTAACATCTATTAATTATTTTACTTATGAACCAAACAACCTACTCACCTTTGATATAATTTGTATAATTTTTTTAATCTATACTATAAAATGTAAACATATAACGAAAATAATTTATTACAGGACACTATAAGCTGTAGTTGCACCACTGCTTAATGCGATGGTTGGTATTATCACAGATTATATGAACGGATGGGGGTAGTTGTTCCTCCTGATGAGAATTATGGTCGATAAAAAGCATTTTTGATTAGAATTCTAACCTAAAAAAAAAAACTATATAATCTGTCGTATTATACTTGAAACACAATATTTTAAACATCGTATAAATATAAGATCTATCTATTATAAAATAATAAATGAAAAAAAATAATAACAACAATCTAACAATATTGTAATAATGCACTCATGTTATGGATGTTTTATTTTAAAGCTGCCACGGACCATAGGTAGGGAAGTCAAAAAAACATCGATGTTTAAGTTTCGATATTTTGCATCGATGTGTCACGTTTACCAATGTTTTAATTTCGATGTTTGTTTTATCTTCGATGTTCAAGGACATTACACAAAATATTTTTAAAATTTTTCATTGGCAAAAAATAAATTATAGATATACATTTAATTATAATTTAATATCAACTCAGTTAATAAAACAAGTCAGGATGACTGTATCTTGATCTAAATTCATAATAATTTTCATCCCTCTACTTGTTTTGTCTAAAATAACGCATTCCTCCTAAGACTTGTATTTTAAAATTATATATATATCATTTTTATATTTATATATAAGACATTTTTTTTTTTCAGTGAAAATAATTGTTTTTAACATTTAGGCCCGGGCACCTGGCTTATCGTGTTGTTTAGTATAAGCCATTTCGCAACTCGTATTATGCCCGTATTAAGATCTACGGACTAAGATAATATACTTTATGTGAACTATAAAAAAATAAAAAATAAATAGTTACACAAAGTGTGAAGAATGTTATGATGATACCAGGAAATCTGAATTATAAGGCATCCCTTCACTTATCTTGGGCCATTTCGACCACTGATAATAATATAGTCTTATCCCTAGAAAAATAATATAATAGCCTTGTATTTCTGTAATACCTATATTATAGAATTAATATACCAAATTATAGAAATAAACTAAAATATTTCTCAAAAATAAATAAATGAAACCGGTTATGTGGAAAATTGGCATCAAAATTGATTATTTTAAAAACTCGGCCGATCAATTTTGATTTCGATATGAATGACAACATTGTTTTCGATTTAAAATAATATATAAAAATGTTTATTATAACTTATGAATTTATTGTGATTATATTTGACTGTAAAGTTTATTCATTTAATTTAAATTTAATTTTTTTACACAATGTTTTTTTTTTAATCTTTCTAATAAATAAGTAAATAAATTGAGTTGATTGTGTATGTTTAAAGTTTAGATGTTTATAATTAATTTAACTTGTTAGCTATGGCAAAGAATAATAATTTTTTTTCTATAAAATGTATGTTTGCTTTTTTAAAATCAATGATGTTTTTCTAAATACATCGAGTTCTTGACTTCGATGGTTTTTTTAATTTATCGATATTGTCACTATCGATGTTTTGTAATAAATAAATTCATACATCGTACATAGATGTTCACAAAAAATTTGCCATCCCTAACCACAGGTAAGAAGCGCTAATCTAAAGGCCTATCCATTATTTTATTATCTATGGGAACACCACATTTTTTTCCATGACAACCATTTTATAGGTTATGTAAAAGAACCGCGAATTTTGTTTGGAGGGTAAAATCTAGTTGACGGCTTGGCGAACCATTATTATAATAGGCAATGACTAATGATTATTATGCACATTACTAAATTTTTTGAGAGTCGTTCCTTAAATTCAAATTCAGTAAAGTGATTTCACACAATAATTTCATTCGAACTGTTTTCAAGTTTTTCTGGGATAATGTGCTTGAAACTATCCCCGTGTACAAAAATGAATGAGTGACTACTAAATTCTATATTGATTATTGTTTTAAGTTAACGTTTTTCGATTTATAATCATCATAGAACTTGGGTCTCGAATACAATGAATATTTTAACTGGTTACGAAGATCTCGGCGTCAGTCCGTTATTGGAGAATAATCAAATAGCCAAACGCTGTCGTTACTTAAACCCACATAGCACGGTAAAATAATTATGTTATTTAATTTGTATATGACGTTTATATAATATGATAGAATGCTTTACTCTAATATAGATGAATTAATTATAATTAATTTTCACTATTTGTTAACTTTAATATCATTAAAATTGGTATTTTTAATTATTTTTAATTTTAAACTTGTTTTTTGTAAAAGCAAAATAAAATATTCTATCATCTACTAAATACTTAAGAACTCGATAATATAACTGAAGGAAATTTTTCCGATTTTTAAATCTGTACAAACAATTTCCAAGAAAAAAGTATGCAAAGCCAAAGTAAGGCATAATTTAATACAAATAAAAAGAGTAAATTAAATATTTTCTACTAGAAATTTCTTCTTGTAATCGGAATTTTGTTTCAAACTGGTTTATTTAAATTTTACCAAATTGTGTTTATAAAGTTGATGTAATAACTTTGTTATTGTTTTGCACTGAGTAGGATTTAGTTGTTGAAAAACTTCTTAACTTCAATTAGTATTCTTAAGGCTTTTAAAAATAATATACATGTTTCATTATATTTATGTTGATTATATTATTTATTGTTTTTAATATGAGAATTTAATTATGAATTGAAAAATTTTAACATATATTTTTGTGTTGAAACTACCAATAATGAGTATAAACCACTAATAACAAATTGTACTAAAAACTTTTGTATTATTAATAATTATTGTCTACATTTTTAGGGTCTAAAAATATAAAAAAAAATTGTTTTCAGTTTTTATGTATAATTAACTATGAACTATACTTATTATTAAGTATGAATCTATAAAGTAAAATATGTTTCAAAATTATTAAATTAATTTTATATTGGTTTAGATATGGCCTATGGGTTATGGTTTAATTACTTCTTCGTACAAATACAAACATAAAAAACCTATAGTAAATAATAGTAAGTCTAAATTAAATTTCAACAATTATTAATTATTTACTTTCAATTAATATTAAAAATTGATTTACAGACAATTTTGATACATTACCAGAAGAAGTAATATTACATATATTTAAAATGTTAGACAAGCGCACTTTAACAAAATGTGCTTATGTATGCAGTCAATGGCATCGTATTGCATATGATGAGTCTTTATGGCAATGTTTAAATATACCATGTCGTCGCATGAGTACAATAGCTTTAGATAATCTTCTTAAGCGTAACATTAAATTCTTATCTTTGTCACATGCAAATGTAAGTTTCTTATTAATTATTTTGGAATTAATTTTGATTATAATAACTTCTTTTATTTTAGATTTATGTTGACACTGTGTATACATTTGAAACGCCATTGCCTAAATTACAGTATTTGGACATGAGTGCTGTATTTATAAAAGTTGATAGTAAGTTGTATTATATTGATAAGTATTCATTATATTAATTTATTTTGTTTTTAGTTTTAAATTCATTGTTAAAGCAATGTTGTAATTTAGTAAAACTAAGTTTGGAAAATTGTCAAGTAAATCATGCATGTTGTGAAAACATTGGGCGTAATACTAAATTAAAAGTACTGAATGTTGCTTCTACAAGTGGATTAGATAATGTTGGGCTTAAGCACATTTTATCTTTGAAAAAGTAAATTATTTGTGCATTAAATCTGTTCTAGAATGTCCTATACTTAATTTGTTTTATGTTTTTCAGTTTGGAAGAATTAAACATATCATGGGCTCATTTGAACAATACTGATTTACACTTTCTTCTTGCCAATATGGTTCCTAGCATGAAACGACTTAACATTAGTGGCTTTTTGAAACAATTAGCTGACTATGGTAGGTTATGCAATTAATAAAAATGTTAGGGTTTTAATCTTGTGCATTTTGAAATATTTTGATTTAATGAGAATATTTCAGATTTGATTTCATTGGTTTCTTGCTGTCCGCACTTAATTGAATTAGATATTAGTGATAGTTTATCTATTACTGCTACTAGTTTGGACTATATCTTAAACAATCAGTCAAATCTTAAAGTATTATCTATGAGTCGCTGTTACAATGTTGGATCTACATTTTTACAGTAAGTAATTCACAAGGAATAAGTGTAACAATGAATTTAAAATATACATCATAATATGATTATATGTTTCAGATCAAACGCATTAAGAATGAAAATAATCAATAATTCTACTCATCATTTAAAAGAATTGAATGTGTTTGGAATAATTAATCAATTATCGTTCAATTTTTTTTGTGATAACTTATTAGATTTTGAAGTAAACAAAAGTATATTTTCTTCTATTGCCCGTCCAAAACTAGCAGACAATGAAAATACTATTTGGGAAATTCCTATTTGCATAGACTGTTGACATTTCACTAAATTTTTCCAATGTTCCATTGCCAATATATTGTGATACTAATTATCAGATGTCATTAATTAGTTATATATATATTTTAATTCCAATTAATTTTTGGAAAACTATTATTTTTATTATTTCTTATATTATTGATAAATTGGATTAAAAGTTATATCTAATGATTTATTACTTGGTTATATAATTCGCTTAGTAGAATTACTTTAGACTGAATTGGAATTTCTTTTGCTTTATTTATTTTTTAGTTGAAAAAGAAACATGAATTTATTTAAGTTATTTGTGTAAAAGTATTATAATGAAATTAAAATTTAATGTTCTATTGAAAAGATTGCTATATGTATTTTAAAATTTATGTTTTAATAATTATAAAACTTAATTATATTATACTTCTACATTATTTATGCTAATTTATTGCATATAAAGTTTTAGTATTATTTGGAACCAAGACACTTTTATCACCTTAAATATTGATTAGTTACCCTTTAAAATTAAATAATATGTACTACAATTTTAGAATGATGTACAATACAAGTTTTATACATTTTAAAAGATTGTTATTATACAAATTGATATTTTATATTATTATGTATCATTAAACTTATAAAATAATCTAAAAATTTGAAATTCTGAAATAGTAAAAATACTATATAATTTACTTCTACTTGAATGCATAATAAATTTGTTAACATAATTAGTGATGGTTATATTTAATATATATTTATAAATAAAAATACATGTATTTTTTTCCATTTTGCACATCTACAGAATATTACCTTTATTATATTTGTATATTTTCAATATTATAACTTGTTTTTTTTTTTTTTTTTAATTCAATGTTATTAATAATCGATATTGATTGTATTAGATTTAATCTGGAGCTCAGCATACAGAAAACAATTATTGTTAAAATTAGAGGTATTCTAGGATAATCAATAATCCCCAAAATTTAGATAAAACTAATTTTAACCAAAAACAACTTACATGAGATAAAACAAAATTTGCTTTTGTAGATAGATGTTATAATCTTAGAGATTCACAATTTATATTAGCACCTAGAATTTGAACCAAATATTTTTTTTTAATTTTTATGAAAAATGAAATATTTGAAATATTTATCTATTAGATATTTACTTGATTTAATATAAAACACAAATATGATCTGATGAATAATATTTTATTTAATTATTATTATTTTAACACAAATAATATTTTTAGTCTAATTATTTTGTAGTTAATTAAGAATTAAATAAGATTTGGAAAGATTTTAAAAATTAATAAAAATGCAATAATTTATAAATCTGACCAGAAAGAATATTCAAATTTTAGACAGCACTTTTATAATTATTAGTTGACCAACTAACATTTAATATCAAATGATCATATCCATATCCATGTAGACCTTTGATGGCTCGCTCAGCATCTATTATGGATTTGAAATTAACGAACGCATAACCTTTGCAAGCACCAGTCACCTTATTGGAAGCCAAGAATAATCGAGCAATTTGTCCAAACTTGTTAACCAATTCACTCAAATCGGCTTCAGATGTACTCTCAGAAAGATTTTCAATACGAATAGCGGGTACTTCATCATAACCACGTGAATAAAGATCTCGCCTACCAACTGTATTTGTGGCTCCTTCTCGTGCTGAAGGTGGAATGTATGGTCTAAACAATAATACATAATATTTGAGTCATAATGCATTGTTGTAATAAATGAATAGAAATTTTACCTATTAGTACTTGTATTCTTCTCTGGTTCAGGAATTTTCTCTTGTACCAATTTCTTGTCTTCGATCACTAACCCAGTACCCTTAAGATGACACGAGAAAGACCAATGTTCACCACCACATGTACGACACTTGATATTCATATTTATATTCTTCAATTTGTCTAAAGGATTTTCTTCTGTTTTGTCACCATCCTTACTAGTCATAAATTGCATCTGTATTTCTTCAGCAGGTATAGTAGTAGCAATATTGGGTCCAGGCTTGTCATTACGAGAATCTCCAAATTTAGCCCATGTTTTCCGTTCTGCTATTGTCTTGGACACTAAACGTTTTTCAATTTTATAGGTACGTACGACTTTTTCTTTTTTATTATCCTTGTTCCACCTATATTCCGTGATAATCCTATTGTTTCCGATGTGTTCAGTCTTTGAAGCTGGCAATGTGGTTTTCTCTTCATGGTCTTCAACTTCATCAGCCCAACTAGCTTTTATTAAATCTTTGGTCTGCATGTTGACTGAAAATAAACAAACATAGAAAACTTTTAGAATCATAGGGAATTTGCGCCTTAAAAAGTTAAGCGCACTTACCGTTTAAGTGCCCACGCTATATAATAACTTGACGACAACGAATCTCGTCCGGAAAGTATTATCCGATTTAAGACAATAACCAAGAATCGATGGTCTATAAGGGAAAAGCAAAAAGGAGCGCGGAAAGAGGAGAGACAACGATTAGATATCACGAAGTTATCATCACCTCATCGGACGGAGCATAGAGTAATATTATCAATATTACGGACCACTGTCGCATAAGCCATAGATAATGTACCTCGTGGACGCTGGTCCCCGATCCGTGTGTGACAGTTGGCTACACTGCGTTATGACAGAATTATCGGGATAAAAATTAATTTGTAAACAAATCGTACATATAATATTGCAATATATTATTATTCTGGGGAGTAAATCTCCTCAGTTATTTTACCTCACCAGTTCTAAGTATGTTAATTATTAATGATTTTCCGCACCTACGTAGTCGATAGATTAACGTATTTTTAGGTTCCCAGGACGTGATTCTATTTCGTCGTCGCAACGTGTGTCTATAATGCACTTACCGAACCGCGGTTTCAAGTTCAGTTGATTAGCAGTGAAGCTGTTTATTTAGACGACCAGCTCCCCGGTATCTAACATGGACATTCCACAACCCCCAGAAGGTAAAACAAAACATAGCAACCTCGTAGTGTTGGGGGGAAAAAAAAAAAAGACAAAAGATTACCTTGAATGTGGATTTTAGATCATGAACTACGCACGATCATCGACAAATTGGCCGTATTCGTAGCACGTAATGGACCCGAATTCGAGCAGATGACCAAAACCAAACAGAAAGACAATGCCAAGTTTGAATTTTTGTTTGGTGGCCGTCACTTTGATTATTATTTGTATAAGGTTACAACAGAGCAAGCAAGTTAGTGTAAACATAGACATAATATCTTAACTAGGTAGATGTTATTTACACACAAGCAGTTTGTGCAATATTTTGGTTTTTTGTCAAATAACTATGCTTGTTATACTTAAAACACTTTAAAGGTACTACTGTAAAGACAATATTTTATAACAATTTTGTTTAATTGTTCTGTAAAATTATTGACTTACTTTATTTGTGTTGTAACAATGAATTGTCATCATATATTCTATGTATATTCTTTATGTTTTATAATCTTTGTTTCTACATTTCAAATAAGGTCAAAATATATCATTAAAATGATTCACTATTTCATTGTATTGTTCTATAATTAAATTATATATTTCTTATAACTAAAAATTATTTAGTTTAAGTAATTGTTTACTATGACATTTTTTTTAGTATTGAAGCAAAATAGCGTAAGAGAAATGGCTCAAGCTGCAGTTGCTAATAATTCAGTTAGTAATCAGCAGTTGAATGTCGCTGCTGCTGCAGCACATTGGTTAAATTTAAATCCAACAAATGATTGTCAGTCTACTGCAGTAACACTGGGATCCTTGAATGCTCAGCAAGCAAATTTGCAACAACAAATTGCACAAGCAGAGCAAAACTTCAACTCTCAATTAATGGTATAAAATAAAAATTTGATATATTTTGAATTCTATCTTGAACATAAATAAATGTGTTTTGTTAGATGTTAGCTCAGCAGCAACAAGTAGCTACTGAAGATAAAATACTGTCTGAGCAAAGAGAATGGATTAATTCTGAAGCTGCTGCTAATGAATTATCATTAGTTGAGTTGTCGGCCGTACTTGAACCTATTATTAAAGGGTGCACTAAAGACGCAATAGCTAATGGTAAATCATGGATTATGAAACAAACAGCAAGTCAACGAAAAGTTGATGTTATCACCCAATATTTGCTTATGGAGTAAAGTGAAAAATTATTATGACTTAATTTATTAATTTATTATTTAATGATATATTTTTGAATAATTTTTGTTCACATAGAGTAATGGATTTGAATGCTGAATTTTCTAAACAGTTACATTTAATTTACTTGGTTAATGATACAGTTCATCATTGGTAAAAAGATCTATTATTAAGTAATTAATATATTAATAAATAAAGTATGTTTACTATTTACTTTTGACTTTTAGTATTCGTAAGTCAGAAAATGTTCTAAAAGTATCACTTGAATCAATCATAGTACCAATGTTTTGTTCAGCAATGGTAAGAGCAAATGAAGATCAAAAATCTAAGCTTAGCAAGGTATATTTAATATAACTGATAATTTTTCTTGTGATATTAATATTTATGATATTAATAGTTACTCTCATTGTGGGAAACAAAAAATCATTACTTTCCGGAACCAATAATGGAACGGTTAAAAAACCCTGATCGTTCAATTGCAGAATATAAGAGCAACTTATTAGAAAAGTATAGAGAATCTGTGAATCAACTCAACATGATGATGAATAATACATTACAAACTTACCGTAGTCAACATCAAGCATTTATAGCTCAATGTAATAATCAAATACAGGTAATACATTAATCATTAAATAAAAAACTGGTTAAAATACTGGTCATTTAAAGTACATACAAGGACATTGATGTAGGTATAATAAGAATTCATTGTTTACACTTAACCATCGAACCATTTTAAAAATGCGATTTAGCTTTTGTTAAATGTATTTTAACTTTCGTTGGATGTGTAAAAATTAAACAAAAATATTTTTACCACTTAACTCTTTAAAATTTATTTTTTTTGTTTTATTTATTTTTTAACTCCTATATAATAATAATTTTTGTAGGTATATATTTATATTTACATGTTTATATATTTTATATAATATATTTATTTATATTAAATATTTGTATAATTATATTCAATCTTTCTTTCATAAATCATTTTTTATTGGGAATTCGATTATTTTAGAGTATAGAAAACCAAAAACGTTCGCTAGAACAACAAAAACAAAGAGTAACTCCTCTTTCGATTCCTCCAGTTCAAGGTAAGCGCACATCTGATTAAAAAAGGACATTTTACACAATATATGAAAAATAAAAATTCAAATATTATCTATCATAAAAGATTATGTAAAAACACAAGGTTTCATAATTCCATTTATATATTAGAATTATATAATGCTATATTCTAATTTCTGAAATCTTGCTCTTATTAACTGTAATTATTAAAGTTAAATACTTAATATACTGTATAGTGTAATTATTCTATACAGATTATTTTTAAAAAAATTTTTTTTTTACTCTATTACATCAAACCTAAATTATGTTTCAAAAATGTATTTAATGTTATTTAAATTTTAAAGTTTTGCCTTTTCGGTTACTTCTTATTTTTAGTAAATATCAAAATTTGAGTTAAAAATATTGGAATATGTATGTTATTAAATATTACAATTATTTTTCTTTACTGAGATTTAATACTTAAAATATTTGTAATTAAAGTTCTTAAACTATTAAATATATATATAAGCAACATTTATTTATCAAATATTAACGATATAAATAAAACTGATACCTACTAAAATTCATAACATAATTTTAATTCATTTTTTTTAATATTGGTAAATTTTTATATTTATTAAATCATACAAATTTATAATTAAAAATTAGGATTATTTTTTTTCCGGTTAATTTAACTAGTCAATAGTAATATATACTTGAATTATACATTTTAGTTATAATTTCTATAGCATGTCAATGTGTTACATAGACTTATCATTTATATGTTTTATTTTTTTATTTTATTTTAAATTATATTAGGTTTTTTTTATAAATTTTTTGAATAATTCTCAAAGAAGATAATTCATTTATTTATGTACATTCATATATGTATGTAGATAAATATATATTTATTGTTGTAATGGAAACCTTGTGTACATATTCTTAATTTTTAATATTCCCCATTAGAACCATTTCTCTTTTGTTTTTTTATTTAGATGACACAAATCGTCAGCATTTCAATGAGGGTCGTTTACCTTCTCCTCCTATGTATCAGAATAACATGTCTGGTTATATGCAATCAGATCAACAGAATTATCCACATCAAACAGACAATGGATATCAGCAAGATGATCATTATGGACAGTCAATGCAAAATTGTATGCAACAACCTCCTTCTATTTATGATAGACCTCCACCTCCATTTAATCAGCCTCCTCCTAATATACATCTACAACCTCCACGTAAGTAAAAATTATGTTTTTCCTTATTTTCATATATTAACAAAAACAATTTCTGAAGCTTCAATGGAATTGCCTGATTTGAGTCGACCGCCACCGAACTTTATACAAAATAATTTTTCTATACCACCAGCACAGCTAGATGTTATATCTGATGATTTGCTACCTTCACTGCCATATTATGAACTTCCAGCTGGTCTTATGGTGCCATTAGTTAAAGTTTGTTCAATATTTTATAAATTATGAAATTTTTCATTCAAAACTTTATACTAAATTAATTTTGTTATTTTTCTATGTATCATTCAGTTAGAGGATAGTAATTATAAGCCTTTAGATCCAGACACAATAAGATTACCACCTCCAGCTCCACCAACAGAACGTTTATTAGAAGCAGTTAAAGCATTTTATATGCCTCCTGGTCATTTTGCTCCTCGTGATAGGTAAGTATTTAAATTTTTATTTTTTATTGTTATTATTCTCAATACATTTTTAAATTAGTGACGGCTGGGAAAAGCTTGGTTTATATGAATATTATAAAGCTAAAAATTCTGCCAAAAAACAAAAGGAAGATGATATTGCTAATAATATCAGAGAAAAATCAAAGTCTCCATCTCCAATTGTGTTACCTTCAGTGAAAGATAAATCTCCAGTACGAAAAAAGCGTTATAGAAGGTAAGATCATTTAAATTAAAAAAATAAAAAATGCTTTATGTATTGTATTTAATTATAAAGTCGAAGCCGCAGTCCAAAACCTCGAAGTCCGATCAGACGAACTACAACCAAAAAAAATAGTCCACCACCAACACCAAATCGTGTTCGCCGAAGACGTTCTCCATCTAGATCACCTACACCTTCTCCGCCATCTTCTCAACGAAGCCCTACACCACCTTCTTTTGGAGGGTAATTAATGTGTGAAATATTTTATTTTGACTCTTACTAATACAATATTTTTCATTTAGAACGGGTTTTGGAAAAACTGCTCAAGAGCGTTTGGATGAATCAAACAAAGGTCATCAACTACTGAAAAAAATGGGTTGGGGTGGTGCTGGTTTGGGTTCAAAGGAGCAAGGTATCGACACACCTATTAGTGGTGGTGACGTAAGTAAAAAAATAATAGCAAAATGTTTTGTAGTGAATATTCAATTTTTTATTTTTATTGTTCTCGATAAATCGGTTTTTTATATTGTATAATATTATATTGATCTATGGCTTTGTGTTGGTCATCATTATTAATTAGGTCCGAGATAGGACTGATCAATATAAAGGTGTGGGAATCAGTTTGAACGATCCATATGAGAACTTCAGAAAGAGCAAGGGCAAGGCGTTCATACATAGGATGCGCACAAGGGCTGAAGAACGAATGGAAGGCAATGTGTAGGTTTGTATTGTGTTTATCAATTTGACACAACAATTTATGTAATGTTTACATGATATATAATAATTCAATATTAAATTATATACCAAAATATTATAAAATTGCAAGTAATTTGATTAATATAACACTTAATTTTTTATTCTATTTACAAATTATTTACAAAATTCAAGTTGCATTAGTTATAGTGCTTTAATATTCCTATATGCATGACATTTATTAATTATGTTCAGTTAAGTAACAACAATTTAAATTGAAGTATTAATAATGTAGCAAATAAATAATTATATATAAATAATTGTTTAAAAAATATTTCTATAAATGGATATGTGATTCGTAGTCTAATGAAATACTATAATTTTTTTTTTTTTATCAAATCTTATGGTATTTATATGAGCCATTAATATTAAAAATGTATTTATTTTATATTATTTGAAGTATACAAAATAGTAAAATTATTTTGTGTTTTTTACTCTTAAAATATAACTAAGTTTCTATTGATTTCTTTAATAATTGTAATAATATCCATTTAAATAAAATATATAGCATAAAAATTCTTTATTTTTGTTCTATACATGTATATTTTTATGACCAGTTATGATTTAAAAAATTACCAACAAGTATAAAAAATACTTTTTGAGTAATAAAATAAAAATTAGTTAATAAAATAGATTATAAAAAATGTAATTAAATAAAGTGTTCATCACTTTCGATAAAGTTTAGTCTATTTATTCTTACAAATATTATGAGTCTGTGATAGAAATAACCTTAAAATTTATTCTAATTTATTTTGTATCTATTTATTATAGTAATGGGTCGAACCGAACTTTAAATTATTTTTTCCAACTCGAACTGAACCGAATCTTCATATTTTCTACCGAACGAACTTATTATGATTTTAAGTCGAACTCGAACTCGAACTCAATACATTTAATTATGTACATTGTTAATGTATAAATAACGTATAATTAATTTATAGTTAATATATATATATATATATATATATATATATATGTACAAATTAAATCAACCATAATTATTAATTACTAACCTACTAAAACTTAAGTTTTCGTATTACCTATTCTACATTTTAATTTCTAAGTCTAAATAATTGTATTATTTACAATACATTTAAATTTTAGATAATTTTTTATTATTATTATTTTTCAAAGCCAGTATTGTGCTCTCTCATGTTATCTTGTAGCTTATAAAATATTCATTGCGTGTTGAGTGTAATATGACAATACAATTAGTACATTTTAATAATATACAAAAAAATAGTAATAATAACTATAATTTACAAATATAGAATGATTAGTAGAATTTATAATGTAAGACATAAGTTGTTAACATATTTTTATTAACTGCACAGTCGCGGTATCGGAATATTACCATGGATTTAATCAAAATAGATTTTAACCTCTACAATAAATATGATAAAAACAAAAATAGCTAATTTATGAATGTAGATACACTATTGGCGGTAAACAACTTATTAATGTTTAGGTCGGTAGAGGGTGGAGTGTGACATGCCACGGGAAAAATAACATTATTATTATAATAATGGCATTTTGAAGGATTGTACAAATATTTGGTTTTTGAACTATCGTGGCCAGTAAGTCTAGTTCGACAAATATTTTCAAGTTCGATTTTCGAACAGTAAAAAATGCTTGATAGTTCGGTTCGATTTTTTTTTATGCCGAGTTCGAATTTCGAACTGAACATCAAGGGTTCGGTTCAGTTCGAGATTTGAACAGTTCGACCCATCACTAATTTATTATAAATATTTTTATGTACATTGAGATTTTTAAAATAATCTCATGCTAGTCTATTGTTTCAGGTGAACAATGTCAATGTTAAATTATTTGTTATATGGTTAATACTATTTGGTGATACACCTTTAGTCATAGAGGTGTAACTTAACAAGTTATAGGCAAATTTATATATTTTTAGTAATAATTATTTTAGCATACGGATGGAAAAAACTGTAAAGAACAACATTCAGAAATTAACTACTTTGTGAATATTTTTAGTTGCTACATAAAATTTTGTTATGAAATTTTTATGCTATAAAATTAAGTTATTTAGACTATTATTTTCATTGCAATAAATTCATCAAAGTTTGCAGTGTATATGTTGCAACAAATCTTCTATTAAAATTAATTTTTCGTTTAACATTTAGACAATGACACTATTTTATGTAAGAAAATGTTAATGAACTCATCAATTTTTGATGAACATTTATTTTGAATAATTTGTAAATCTTTAGATAGTGTAATATATCTTTTGTTTGTTATTTAAGTTAAGTTACCCACCTTCACAATTTTTTTTTACAAACATGTAATTAAATAAAATATATAAAATGAATAAATTATCGATATTTACTTTTTATATTAATATGTGTTTATTTATTTTTATTTAAATTTAAATTGTAAGAACTAGAATTTAATGATAAATAACAGCTGAAAATTATACATTGAACATTTTATCTATGAGAATTATACAGTTAATTTATTCTTTTCGCACAACATATTCACTTAGTTTCTCAAAATAATGAATGTATCAATCTTGGCTCACAGCGCACAGCAGGAGGAATAAGAGTTCTAGTTGGCCAAAAATAAAAAATTTCGATATCGAATAATGGTTATTTAACTACAGATATCTGTTTATTGCCTAACGATAATGAATATAATAATTAAAGATAATAATAACAGTTATGCAATTATGGTAGATTATCATTGTTAAATTTATTTCTAGAGCTGAGTTGTAAGAAACGCCACGTTTTCGATAGTTCTATTGTATATTTTTTTTTAAACTGTTGAAATTAAATTCTTAAAACCTGAACTTTAAAAATATTTAAATAGATACTTCTCTGATGAATTCCCAAGGTATGATTTAATTTAAAACTTATTTTTGTGTACTCTAAAAAAAAACGTTTATGTCTAATTTATTCATAAAATATGGGTTTTATACATTTATTGTAGAAGCAATATTTTTTAGAGATTATACACACATTTTATTTTAAGCACATACATGTATTCTTGAAAATATTTTATTGAGAAATTGCCCCAATTTGTCCGAAATTTAAATACTTATATTTTTCTAGATAAAAGTAACATTTCCTAAAAGGTAAAAATCGATGTTTATTTGAAGTTTAAAAAACGACGGATTCACGTTACAATCAAGTTCTTGTGAATCACAAAACGTTTTATTGCGTACTTGAAACACAGACTGGGTAAAAAATGTGGTTTTGAAGAATTTGATAATTGTGTTAGGGGAAAAGTTGATGGATTTTGTTCTACGTTAAATAAAAAATTGAAAGAATCAAATCACTTAACAAGATTTTTTATTGAAAAATAAAAACTGAACTGGTTAGAATTAGAATTAAAGTTCATATACTGAAAGAAAACCCAGTAATAAATCAGCCTTCAACTATTTCTGGTAGACCACATAAACTTTTTTTGGAATTCAGTGATCGTTCAAAACGTAGGCAACTAAAAAAAACTTGGAAAAAACTAAGGGAATCGAACTCATCAAATGAATTAATTTATGCTCCAAAAAGTGCATTGTATGAAAGTAAACATACTGCAGCCGATCTAGTTTCTCAAGTGACCGAGTATTTCCCTAATTGTACTATAAAAATTAGAAACTATATAGAAATTAAACAAAATCGAATATGATTTATTCTACAGAAGACGAGGCTTTAGCACTTTTAATCGATACTGGAATGATAAAAAATGCATATCATAACGTAATAATATAAAGGGACTATAAAATATGGGCTTAACATATATCCATCGTATGACCGGATCCGATTAGCCAAAAATAGATGTTACCCTGAAAATTTTTATATAGGTACCTAAATGAAATAAGTGCCAGTATCCCTTCAAAATGTATTGGACCATACATATAAAAGGTTATGTGAAATGCAAGACTTCGTTCACAATAAAATATAACATAATTTTAATACGTAATTAATTTTATGTAATTTTCTGCAACATTTATATTTAGGTTAATAATCAACATTTTACTAAAAATGATTTTACCAAATATTATAGTATTTTATTTTACCAATGATAAAAATATTACTATAATATATAATAAATAAATTATGTGTGATTTGATATGTGTATAGACTTTTGGCCAACTAGAACTCTTATTCCTCCCACTGTGCGGCGTGGCTTAGGGTTTATGTGAACAATCAATTCGTATTTCACGTATGTGAAATTATCATTCATGAACCTGTCACAACTGATTCGCAAAATATAACCATGTTGAATATATCAGTCGTGGTTTACAATAGAATGCTTCCGCCACTAAAGATTCCATCATACTGAATGGTAATTGCGTTTACGTGTAAACACCTTCACGATTCGTGTGATGCTTTTTGAAACCACGCTCGTGACTTTAAATTCACAAGATCGTGAAATACGATCGTGGTTCACGTTTCGTGTAAACCCGCCTTTTATCACACGAGTAGTTAATAAAAATAGAATTAAAATATATTTTATTAACTCTGTTGGTAATGCATCTTCGAAGAACACTGTATTAAAGTTTTTGATTCCAAAAAGTTTATTAATACTATTTTTTTTTTCATTCCATTAGCAAAGATTATACTCGTAGATATACTTTATTTTTTCATATTAATAAAAATATAAAATTATAGTATATATTAGATTTTAAGTAATTATGTGACATGAAGCAACAAACATTTATAGTCAGTTAAGATTTATGCCAAGATGTTGGAGGCTTTTCAATACTACCAATTTTCTGGTAAACAATATATTTAATTAAACGCAATTAATTAACTATTAAATCAAATATTTCTATAAGATATGGCCCGTGTAATATTATGAGTCCACAACAGTGGCAGTTTTTGAGAAGCCACAAGGAGGGAAGGCAAATATATTTTACATACATATCTCATTTATTTTTTCCTATTACTTGATACATGAGAAGTAATTTTAAGTTCTATAAACTTTATACCACAATGGAATAACATAAAAATATAGGAATTAATAAAAAAATTAAAACAAAAATTATTTTTTATTCAAACTTAATTAACAGTCAAACTTATAGGAGCAAATATTTTAGTAAACTGTTTGCTCATTCATATTTTTAGTTTTTATACAGCTCAAGAGGGAGCAGTCCATCCCCCTCCCCTCGTATAACCGCTACTAGTCCAAGATGGAGGAAATTCTATTACTATGGTTATTGAGTTACATAAAATACAGTAAAATATGAAATCTATGAAATTATTTGAGGAATATTGTTTTTTTATTGTTTCTCCTTTTGCAATTCAATAACTATAATTTTGGTTTTATGCTTTTAGTATCGTCTTAAAACCAAATAAATTTACGGTGCATTTCGTATACTGTCCTGATGAAATACGTGCAACATTAAGTCGCTGGTGATTTGTTCGGTTCGTTTTTGAAAACTAGCGGTTTTGAAATGATTTACGGTGCGGCCAACAAGTAAATCAGTAGGCACCGGCTTATCAGCAGTTGTGCGCTAGTGATAACGACAATTCAAATCGTGATTTGAAGATATCTTTAATTATGGTTCAAAGTAATGGACGACAAGATTAGAGTGTAGGATGTCGTGTAGTGTTGTGCGATTGCCGAACGAATGATGTCGGCCATCAAACGCGGCAACGATGACGAGTCGACCGGCGGCGGTCCGGTGTCTAAGAAGGCCAGGGGTCCAGAGACGGCCGAGGAACGTGTGCTGGAGATCATCAAGAGCTCCGGCAACAAAGGCGTCTCCGACGACGATCTGATCAAAGCCTGTCCGGTGCTGACTATCGATGAACGCGTGGATGTGGTCAACAAACTGATTATGTCCAACGCCATCACGTTGCACAAGGTGAAGGACACGCTTAGGTATAAATATAAGGGTCCGACCGGGTCGGTGCCCGGCGACGCTAACACCGAGGAGTTGGTCGTGTTCAACCTGATCCGCGACTCGGGCCGCAAAGGCATATGGATACGGGACGTACGTATTAAGTCCAACTTAGGTCTGCCACGGCTGAAGAAGATCCTCAAGTCACTGGAGACGAAGAAGGTCATTAAGGCCGTCAAGTCAGTGGCGGCCAGTCGCAAGATTGTATACATGCTCTTTGATCTGGAGCCAGACAGCTCCATCACTGGCGGCGCTTGGTATTCCAATCAAGAGTTTGAGTCTGAGTTCATCGAAGTACTCACCAAACACAGTTATAAATTCTTGGAAGCGAAAAAATCCAAAGCCCTGAAAAATACCAGCATACGCAGCCCATTGGTCAAATACAACACTTCATATGCTACTGCTGACCGCGTTTTGGAGTTCATATCGAAGACTGGCATCAGCAAAGTGAGGCTTACTGCAGAGGACATTATCTCCATACTTGATCTGTTGGTCTATGATGGGCTGGCGGCAAAGCGCGTAAATACTGAAGGGAAAGTTGAGTATCGTTCCATCAAATCTTTGTTGAAAAGAAATGCTGTGAGTTTCTTACCCTGTGGTAGCTGTCCTGTGATTAAACGATGTTCAGATGCAAATCAATTAAATTGCTTAAACTGTAAACATATGAAAATTTGGACAACTATTTAATACCAGCTTAATTACTTTTTGTTTAATGTTTTGAAAATTAAAATTTTCTACCACTTGTATTGTATTGTATTCAATTTGTTAACTAATTTAAGGATCTAATATTATTTTTTTTCTTTTTAATTCATGATATTAATCGCTATTTTAATTGATGTTAAAATCTTTTACCTAAAATATGTTTGTTGATTACAGGATTATTGAATAAACCAATATAATTTTAGGAAAAGCAAAACTGTTTTGATTAATGATCATATATGCTTGGAAACAGAGAGCAAAGAAAGGAAATAGGAGCTAGGAATAAAATGTTTGCTAAAAAATAAAAAATACAATTACAAAAGTAAAAAGCACACATATATCTATCTTTTGTCTTAAAGTTTTTATAGCATGATGTGACATAATGATACACCACTTAGCTCTTATTATCGTTAGTTCTTATGTATAGATGATATAGTTATACTAATTTAATTAAAAATGTTCTTCATTATTTCAGTCATGCAATAATAGAAAAGTACTGAAATAACTCATAGTGATTTTGATTAATAATCTTTACCAATGGCTAGATATTAATATTTTCTTGTATGTAGTATCCTATAATTTAATCAGATTAGTTGTTTGTGACAAGCTAAAATTGTACCAAAAGACCCCCATGACCCTCCATCTTGGATCCTATATAAACTGGTGTATGGTGTAATACTACTGTGTATAGTAGTATATATAGCAGAGTTAAACATGTTTTAATCAAATGCGGTTTTGTTTAAATCGTGTAAACCATTTTATTCAAACAATTTAAAAAAAACCGTTATTTTAAACAGAAAAAAAATATAATAAACTGATATCAATATACATAATATTTGGAACATAACCATCTACCATCAAGAAGTTTTATTAAATTTTCTGTAAAATAGTTAATTCATTATTTGATTTTTTATCGTTCAGTAATCAAACGATGTTTACCTTATGATCTGAGGCAGCGGTTTCTAAGATTTACAATCACGAAAATAAAAAAGGAAAACCAATAATCCAAAAAATGTTTTTAATTATACTGTTAATGATTACTTTTTATTAAAATTAGTTTAAAATACATTTTTTTTTAAATAATATAAAATAAATTTCTCAATAATCACATAAATCTGGCGGCAGTAGCGTATATAGGTTTTCATTTCGGAGGGGGCCGATTATGTATTTGATTTTTGGGTGGAAGGGAAGGAGGAAGAACACCATCACGAAAATAATTACTTTAACACTATTAGACTTCTCGACTGTCTTTACACCATCGGAAAAAAAAGAAACTCAATTTTTTTAATGATTTATTATTTTTTAAAAGTATAAAAACTACATTGTAATAAACAAATTTTATATTAGTCACTTAAAATTCACCACATATTTTCTTAAAAGAATATCTAAACATATTTTATAAATATAAAATTTTAAATTATCGCATAAGCAACATTCTCAGTGTCGCGATAAATTTTCGGAAACCTCAAGCATTAATAAAGAATTAATAATGACATATCCATGTTAAAAATAACTATCTTTAACAATGGTGTTTTCCATTTCAGAGGGGGCCCCCCCATAAATACTCCCTTGTCTGGCAGAACACATTGGGATACGCTGATCTATAAGGTGTTTACGGTTAAACGGCTGTAGATAGTGTAATCACAGAATATAATATCATTATAGCATGTTGTATAAATGTTTTCAACTATGGAATATTTCAATTTTTTAATTTTTTGTTGATTATTTGACCTTTTGAAAAATAAGAAACGCAGAAACACAAAATTTATCACATTATAACACTTATAATCACATTAATTATAAAACAATATTATTATATTGCATGAAGGCTAGAATATAAATTCTCAATGTTATGTATTTTATTAATATTTATTATTTTTATTATTTATAAGATTCTATTAATTTTTATAGTATTAAAATATACCTAATAACTAATAACTAATAAGTAATTATAGTCAAGATCAAGTATACAGTAGTCACTACTATAAAAAAAAACCCTCAATGTATACCTGCATTAGAAGTGAATTCTTATTTTAATTTTAATTTACAACATACTTATTTTTATTTTTATAATTTCTTTACATTCCAAACATATTACATACTTCTGTTTTTACATTTTTACTTATTTAGTATTTGTATGTTCTTACTTTTTAATTATTAGTGTTATTACTTATTCATTATTCGCCATAGTCACGCAGCTAATTACAACTATATTATAAATAAACATATACCAATAATTTTATTTCGTTTAAAATTCGTTTAAAATGTGTTTTAAACATGTTTAAAATGGTCAAAAAAAATAGTTGGAATAAACATGTTTTAGCAAATAAAGGATATTTTAAACGATTCAAACTTTTTTTTTTATTATTTTTTATAAGACACATGTTTTTTATCAACTCTGGTATATAATAACTGGTGCCGTAACGAGTAGCACACGGAGGCATACCTATTTACATGTTTACCGCGTGTAGGCCTGTGGAAAATTGCCACTTTAAATAATAAATAATATACCGCACTAACTGAATTATCATTTAATTATCTACTATAAAATGTATATTAATTAGTTAAGTATTCAAAACAAATTTTATTTGAACGCTAAAACATAATTTCTTAAGATTTAAACAGTTTTTATTAATACCAAAATAAATTCTTCGAGTTTGCCGCTGTAGGCGCGTGCATGCGTAGTGCCTGCATATAAATACGTCATTGGTCACACGCGTTTCCTGTTACGTGTATACATCGGCGCACGTTAACACGTTAATATGACCAGTCGCGCATTCAGAACAACTTCCTCCACCAGCCATTCGCCATAGTAAGCCGTTCCTACATTTGTATACGAAAAGCTTCACTCAATTACAGCCGTACAATTATTGTTTCGAAACAATAGGGCTCACTTCACCACACTGTTACAACTTTTGGAACAGCGCTGTATAATTGTAAACGGATGTATGGGAAACCAATGGAAAACCGCCTGCGCGTAACAGACGGTAAACGGTCCGCCGCCCGGTCATGATCTTAACTTGCGCCGAGTTTGTCGCCGTTTGTCATGTTCAGTGGCGTATTTAGGAATTATTTTCACTATGGGCTAATTTATCCCCGGCTACAAATAGAAATTGTTTAGGGAACGGATGGTTTTAAGTATGACATAAATGATACAAATATAGGAATTTAAATGTATTAATATATATTTATTATTAAATAAGGTACATAATAAATTAAGCATTTTTCTACAACAGATAGTAAACATTTTTGCTTTAAAACATAATTAGTCGTGACTGATACTGTTTGAGTGTTAACATTTTTTGTTAGTCACAACTAGACAAGAATTATTTTATTATTCGTGTGTATTTTGTATTTTGTATATATTTTTAATAATATTTTTTATACACTTATATGTCTTGTAGTGGGGAAATACTAGAAAGTTTAATGAAAATAATACCATCCATTTATGATTTTGGAGATAAGGATCAAGTTTTTATTTAACGGATGAATCCATAATTTTTTCTTTCTTATAATTCTGTTCTTAATTTTGTTATGTGTACCACATGCAAATCGCAACAACTTCATCAGATGACATGATGAAAACTGATTTTTGTTTTGTCTAGGTAGTGTATACTTAATAAAAACAAATTGTTTTTAACTAACACAAAATTGACTAACACTGTCTAACGCAGTTTTGCACTTTTGGTGTGCGTTCATCCTAAGACAATCGAGTATCGAAAATTGACGAAACAATTCCTAGCAAACCCGTGATAAATGGATAACATTTTACAACAATGTAAATACAATAGTAAATAGAAATCCATTTCTAAAAATAGAATGCACTATCAAGGTACCATGTAAACCACGGACTAGGGTTGCTAAGATATGTAGTCTGTGATGTAAATATACAGATTTATTTGTCGTGTTCTTTCGTAGTTTATTCGTATTTTGATTGGTCATTGCAATCATGGATAATGGTATCAGTCAGTAACGTGAATTTTATACCTCAAAAACAACATACAAGCATAGAACTACAACAAAAATAGTAGGTAGGTACGGGCCATGGGGTCATATGGTATAAATATATATTTATATAATTTAGCAATATGTATAACAATTTTTGAATTGAATCTGAAATTTCAATATGGGCCCGGGTCTAGGGGGCACCCCCCTATATATGTCACTGATCATGTTAACCATAGGTGAAACTAGACAGTTTTATTAGGTCAGACCAAATGAAAAATATAAAAAGTATTATTATGTAAAATTAACTATTATTTCCTATAATATAATCAGTGGCGTATCCATTGGGGGGGTTAGGGGTCAGAATCCCCTCCATGAACCTGAGATGGTAAATTAACTTTTACATGAAACACGGTTTTTTCTTTAACATTTTTATATTATAGAATTTTGACTTGGAAATTATATTAATATTTTGTATAAACAATATAAACGTATTATAAACACACACACACACACAAGTCATAATATTATGATCATATTTACTTTACTACTACTTTGATAATTTTTGCATGGAAACATATTATTAAGGTTTTCTTCAACGGTTGATTCTAAATCGGTCATCTGGTCCCGATAACTGACATAAAAGCGATATCATTGTCTGTATTCAAAGTTTATTTTGGGTATACCTATTGCATTCGCGGCTCGCCGATCATTTAACACAAGCACCTTATTGTGTAAAACTAATAGTCGTTGCCCGTTGGTGTCTCACTGTTTTACTTACTACTCGTTTATTCGTTTATATTCGACATTAATATTCCATTATATTTGTTTTATTTTAATTTCACGTCATTCTAAGACGTCTAAACATTCCATTATGGTAAGATATTTTTAAAATTTAATTTTTAGTATACCTAAGTGATTGGACAGAAAATATTCTAATATCTAATATTTATGTGCCTATATTAGTTCCTAAATTGTTATCATTATTATTATTATTTATTATTATAGGCAAATTCTCTAACAAATAAGCAGACTAGAAAAATTAAATATTTTTTTTTACCTGAGTCAAAAAAATTAATGTTAATCAGACTTAAAAATACCA